TCTCCACAAATATTTAATTAAATAACAATTAATCTTTATTTATTTATTATTTTTGTAGTGCAAATAAAGTGTTATTGCAACAACAGTAATATGGATTATAATTTAACGATGCTTCTTATCGCAGATATTATATGACGTGTCGTAAAAAGAATTGTTATTCTAAACATTTATTAGATTGGATTTAACAGTTTATATGCATTTGGATATTATTTGTCTTAGTAGAATATATTTTATTATATTACAATAAAAACAATAATAAAAGCATCATCATCATCAAAATTGTTAAAAAATCAGTTGAATCGTAAAGTGCTTAACAGCGCGAAAGGGATTAATTTTGTGAACACTACATGTTAGCAAGTTAGCAACAAATAAGCAATAAATAAGCAAGAAATAAGCAACAATAAACAATATTGTAAGGGTGATTGCAATAGTATTCGCAGCAGTCATAACAGTCATAAGGACAGGCAAGAGCGTATTTACGGAATGGGTACGGGTATTAGACCAAAGAACACGACAAATATTTGCCTTAAATAATTAAATTTTTATGCAACTAATGACAATAACAATTGACAGTGTTAAAATAACATTTAAAGAAAGGCAAATAGCAAACGCGAACAGCAGAGAGCGACAGCAGAACGAAAATAGTTGAAGTTAAAATTATGATTATGATGTTTGCAATTGTAACAATTCTGCGATGCACATAGCATCCCAAATATATACTCGTTACTATATATAAATATAACCACACTCACATCACACGTATCTATCAGTTCCGCACGTAAACCTCCAGCCAAACGTTCTGCTAACGAGTAACAAGAATATTGTGAATGGTTGAACCGAGTGTAAAGGTAAATTCACCAGCTACCATAGTAAGCATACAACAATATCAGCAACAATACCAGCAACAAAGTCGACAGCAACACCAACAGCAACAGCAACAGCCACAGCCACAGCCACAGCCACAGCAATAGCAACAGCAAGAATATCAACAGCAAATACAACTACAACTATATGTTCTCATATTCATATTTGCTAGTAACATCAACGGCAACATCAGGCAAATTTTGGTGTGTGAAGCAACAGTTCATTATCATTATCAGTCGGAAAAGATATTAGAGCGGAGGATGTTCGCAAAAACTCACAGTTAAAAGCTGAGCGTGACTCCATATGAAATATTTGTAGTTCTCGGAAAAATGCAAGCGTTTCGCAATCGATTAAACAATTTTTAATTAATAATTGTTATATATAGTATATTAATGAGTTAGCACCGCGACATGTCGATTATCCTTTGCAGTTTTGTTAGCTGAAATATCCTATCGATATCCTTATATTCGGGATGTGAAAATACAAAAACATAATAGCAATAAATGTGCAGTACATAAAACATTAAAAAAATGTATTTAAAATTTATCTTCTGCTAAATGGCAGTGCCAAATTGGCTAGAAACAATAAAAATTGTTATAAAGAAAATTATTAAAAAATCAGTACAGTGCCGTAAATAAATAAACTATTTTGTATAAACAGTTTTGTAATAAACTGTGATTTTATTAATAATATAATATAACTAAAACACTTTCATTGAAATACTTTATGAAACTTAATTAAAAATAAAAATCATATCTTTTAAATTTAATAAATTTAAATACTTAAGAAACAAAAAAAAGTGCATTTAAAAATTAATTGAAAGTTAAAAAAATAGTTTGAAGTCATACGATTACATATGTGTTTAGTTAAAAAATATGCAAAATTCTTATACTAGTTCTTATAAAATAATTTAGCAAAGTGATTTTATGATAAAACAGTAGTAGCAGAATTCTCTTTGGAGCAAACATACATTACAGCAACAACTTTAAATACAAAAAATAATTTCCAGGTAAAGATAAATTATTTATAAAAATAAATTAAATCTTGTATTGTGCATTGCTAGAAAAATCATTCCAAAGATAAACTGATTGTATATTCTTCGATGTAATTATTTAAAACATTTGTCAAAAAAATTTTTTCATATACAAATTTATTTCTATTCAGTTGTTTTAAAAATTTTTTTTTCCCTGATGATGGTTTTAAACAACCGAAACGTCGGAAATATATATTTAATAAATAAAAACAATAAAATAATTTTTATTAAAAAACAAAATTAAAAAATCTGACTAATAGCCCAACACTCATTTATGATAAAGCTTGTATTACAAGGTTTAATTAAAATATTAACTAATTTTGTTTGTAGGTTAATTAAACACAAAATAAATAAATAAATATAATGTATGCCGTAAATAATGAAAACAACGTAATAATATTTTAATAGAATAATAGTTCCAACAATATTAGGACTCATGCAGTATTCGGTTTATTACATATTATTAATATAAATAAATATAAATATAAATAATATAAACAGTATAAATAGGTTAAATGTTGGCAGCATATATTTTAATATAATAAAGTATCAAAAATACTAGGATTCATTCAGTCTTCAGGCTTATTTTAATAAAATTAAAACATTAATAAATTTTATATGTAACTAAAATAAAGAATAAAAATAATATAAATAATACAAGTTCTCTAATTAGCTTTAATTATAAACAAATAGAATATATATTTTTATATAATGACAGTTCCAAAAATATTGGGATTCACTGAGTTTTCAGACTGGTTTTGATAAAATAAATGCCTTAATAAATTTTATTTGTAATTAAAATTATTCACAAAAATTATAATATTAATGGAAAAATAATAAATACATAGAATATACCATATTAACAGATATAATGAGTGTTGATAAATTTTATATGTAATTAATATAAATATAAGAAATATTATTAATAACAAAAATAGTAGAAATAGCTCAAATAATAGATAAATAGTATACATATTTTAATAGAATGATTGCTTTTAAAAATATTGAGATCGATTCATTCATATCAGGTCTCAAGACAAGTCTATGATTTTGTTCATTCCGAAGCGTACCACTAATGTTGACCGCTGAAGCAACTAAAGTTATTTAATATTTGATATATTATTGTAGATCAATAATATAAGAATTATACTATAAGGTTTGATTTTTATATTGTTAGTAGTAACAAATTCAAAAAGTACCACGAGCTTGAAATTTTTAAATTCAAGAGTTCGCGTTATTGAATATCACGAATATGATCCGAATTTAGCTCATACGTACAAAGAATTCGTGATATAAAAGAAGATTTGTGATGAATTTGTGAAAAATGAATCTCTATATAAGAGAATGTTGTCCCAACAATTTTCTCTCTGAGGAAATAAAAAATAAATAATATAATTAACAAAAGTCATAACCAAATAAATTTCAGATATTAATACAATGACAATTTCAAAATGAGTTAAATTTTAGATATTCATTGATTTTATTTACAATTTATATAAATAAAAAAATATAAATATCTTAGGTAATTAATAAATAATATTCAAATTAAAATGGAAGTTTCATAACTGCCGGATATATAAACAATTTAATTAACAGAAGCAACCAGTAAATTAAATTAAAATATTAATCGAATGGCAGTTCCGAAATCTTGTAAATTCACTTATATATGTAGGTAATTGCAGTTAAATTGAAATTTTCATAAATTTTATAGTTTATTAAAGTAAATAACATAATGTAAACAAAATTGGTGACAGGGAAGGCATAAGTACTAAATACAGTCAAACTTCCATAACTCGAACTTCTATAACTTGAATTTTCTATAACTCGAACCAAAAACAGTGCACCAAGGTTTTAGAGAGCAAATTACATACAATTTTGCTTCCATAACTCGAACTTCTATAACTGGAATTTCTCTATAACTCGAACAAAAGTTTTGTTCTAGTTTTTTTCAAAAATAAAAAAACATAAAAAAATTCTCTAACTCGAAGTCTCCATAAGTCAAACCTTTTCTTTGCAAAATTGGACTTCGAGTTATGGAAGTTAGACTGTATATAAAATTATAATATTAGTAGAATTATCCTGATATTATATACATTTATTTATAGCTGTAATCGCTTATGGTAAAGTTAAAATAATAATATATTTTATATTTAACTAAAGTAAACAATATAAAAAAAATAAATGCTATAAATAAAGAAAGTAATATATGTAGGTATATACATATATGTCATAAAAAATATTGTTAACAATGTTATAAAAACTTTTTGTTTAATACAATTTTATGTTTTATTATTGAATTTTTAAAGCATAATAATATTTAACAACACTTATCTTATTATTTTTTAATTTTAATAATTAAATTAAAAATTAAATATTATTCTATTGCAGTAGTTGAAATGACACCAAATTTTGAGGCAGCATATCTCCACAACATTATTGCTAAAGAATCAACAAACAATTCAACCGCAACAAATGTATAAATGTATATATGTTAAGTGTCACAAAAAGGCTTAGCAACATTTTACATAAAGCTCTATAAAAATATTTTTTACTACAAATTCAATTCGAATTTAATTAAACGATAATATTTACTATTAACTTTTGATAATAGCATCAAGAAATAATTGAAAGTTTCTATTACATATGAAAAAGTAATGATAAAAAGGAAACTAGTGTAAGTGAAAGCAACTGAATCGCTGTAAATGTTGCGCGCGAAACAAGGTTGCACCAACAGCTACCGCAACAATATACGTTACAGTTTGAAATTGGAAGAAAGTAACCACTTTAGTTAAAAATTCAATAAGAACTTTAATTAAATTTAATTTGCATACCATCAAAAAGTAATAATAGATATTAAATAAATATGGTCAGAAGAAACACAAAGCAACAAAAGTAATTGACATAAGTAATTACACATAAAACTTGCTAGAAAATGTTCACCGAAAAGCTAAATCTGAATTAAACCTGTAAGTATTTACATATTTTAAAATATTGGAACCAGTTAAAACGATTTATACTGAAATTCATAAATATATGAATATAAAAAAATGATTTCGCAGCAATTAAAATAATAGAATACAATAAATATTCTGATATTTATTTATAAATATTCTGATATTCTGATATTAGTCATTTGTAAAAAATTTATTGTTAAATTTGTTGTTAAGCCGTTAGCAACATAAACAAACTTGTAAATCAGTGAATGTGCTAAGGGCATTCGAGCCTACACTATAAACAATAACAACAAAAGCAATTTGAGTACTACAAGTCACACAAAAAATTTCATTAACAATTGCAAAGAAGTTCCTGTGACGTTGATAAGCAAACATCCTCATTTAGAAGGCCCCAGAAATTATGATCAATTAAATTTTTTGATTTGGTGATTTGTTTATTTTGAATTGCTGCAAAATTTATAATTTACATAAATCACTTATAAATAAATTTGTGTGATAAATAGATAAAAGAAACTATATCTGCTTATATTAATTGATCACTGCGACTGTTGGCAAGAGAAAATTTCAAAAAAAATAGTACCTGGAAGTATAGAAAAAACAATAGCAACGAAAAAAGTAAAATTCCAAATGCATTTTCCCAAGAAATGCAACAACATATCGAAAACAAAACCAACAACGACTACAACAATAAAAAAGTACCAACACCACACACAACTCATGAGGACAGCCTTAATCTAACCGAGGAAGTAATTAAGGTAAATCAAGTCGAAACTAAGGGATATTAGTGTTCAAGGATATAAGTCGTGCCCGGTGCTTGTACACAAACTACAGATTCGGAGTTGTGTGAAATACTTACCTGCACATAACTTTAAGAGCACGCGCGTTGCAGACGATCGCGGCAAACAAAGTTTAAAATTAAATATACTTAACGCTACTACTAAGATTGAGCATCGAAGTTCGATCATAGAAAATCACACCAAATTCAAACTCAGATTTCAAAAAACCGCCAAAACGGTTCAAATAAATTCAAAAACACGACGCACGCCATTAACGTTAACAATGTTGAGTAGCGATATAAGTGCGTCGTCGGTTGGTTGTCCGAAAAAGTCAACCACAACAACAGCAACAGAAACCTTACCAACATATCCAACACAACAGTCACCCTTATTGCCGCCAACATCAACATCAATATTGACTCCAACTTTAACACCTGTACAGCATAAGCATGCATATACACACACAATCACACATAGCGGCTTGCACACGAAGCAAACGACAACGGCAGTAACAACGAAAGTACCATTATCAAGCCTACAACCAGCTACAACAATACCAACCTCAACTACAGATACTAACCCAAAGAATACTCACACACTACTTCTGGAAACACTTGATATGTTGTTGTCTTGCCTCGTTGTGGCACCCTGCGTTATAGCCTACTGGCGTGGTACGTGGGAATTAATGGGTGTGCTTATATTCCCTAACAATGTACCATTATCTGCGTTATGCTCATTCCTAATCGGTGGACTGGGTCATTTACTTTTCACGCTGACACAAACATTCTTCAAAGATCACATACATCCCGACAAGCGGCGTCTTACGTATTATGTAATTTCAAGGTGCTACACTGCCATTTTTGGTATTGTGTGTGTCAATATGTGGCGTGGGTCGTGGGTACTTTGCGATTGGCTAACCAGTGTAGACTCATTAGTTATTATATCAGTTGTAACATTGGTAGCTATGCTTTTTCTAATCGCCACACGTACTGTACGAAATCTAGGTGCTGCACCATATACCGTAACTATGGATCATAAAAGTGATTATTTCGAAGTGGACACCATGTTCAAAATACCGGTAAGTGAAAATGTTATTTTCTATAAATTATTGGTGAGAATTTATAGGATAGAATATTTTAATCGTAAGTAAAACAATGAGTATATGGTCTTCTAAAAAGATGTTTTATTTTTTTAGGGCTTTAATCAACCTGGTCTCTATCTGCTGGATAGCTTATTTTCTATATTTGTTATTGGTACTTTAGTAGTGATTGCGTGGCGTGGTCTCTGGGGTATAATGGATCTAACTTTTTATCCTTCTAACAAAGCAAAGTCTGCTTGGGGGTCATTGGTAAGTTACAAATTAATAAACTTTATTTTAAACAGTAATGATATTAGATAAAACCATAATTTTTTAGATATTATATTATATTATTAGTATATTATATTAGTATATTATATTATATATTTATATACAAACGAAATTTTTTGAGAATTGTCAGGTGATTGTCAGAAGAAATATTTTTTCCTTATACCATCCGCTTGATGATTGAGAGCAAAAGTTTTCGTACTAGTGGTTAGGCTAAAATAGAGCCACAATTTGAGTAGAAACCAGAATTTGAGTCAACAGAAGGAAATTGAGAAATTTCATGAAAATTGAAATCTATTCATTCACTAATTTTTAAATATTATTGTATTATTAGGAGCATTATATATTACGAGTTTTAATTAATTGATTGTTCATATCTTTCAGTTGATCGGATACGCCACAGTTTTTCTTACATTTGTCATACAACCCCTGATACGCTGCATCTGTAAGAAAATTAATGGACTATGTAGATTATTGATATGCGACATTTTTTATTTCCTTACATTTTTTGGTGCTGTTAACGCGTGGCGAGGAATTTGGAATCTTCTTGATGTTTATTTGTATCCAGGTAAATTCTATATAATTCATATACATATAACATATGTAAGAGTAAAAATGTTTTTTAATAGGGCAAAATCTATAATTATACGTGTTAAATTAATAAGTTTTTAATATCAAATATTATTTTTAAAGACTAATAAATTTTTAAAGAGTAGACTACATTAAAATGGTATCCCTTAAATAAAAATTAATGACGAAGCGGGTCTAATGTGTAGTGCAACTTTTTTGTTTTCCTTTGATTCATAATAAAAATATAATTAGTTTAATTTATTCAGAAGAAAATTTCAGAATTTCACCATATTCATCCATTTGAGCATCTCTTCATTTCACAATCGTTGACAAAATTTGTTGTTTTGAGCAGTACCCTTGCTATAACAGAGTCTCGATGAAGATCCATTTTGTGTAGGAGTAACCATACAAAAAATCCATTTTGTGTCTAGTGTGCGTAACCTAAATTCATATGCTTATTCAGATATATTTCTTCTATTGATTTATTACCAAATATTCTGAGCAACCTCTGTCTTAGGTGCTAGGTGTCTTCTGTCTATCTAACAATAATAATAATAAAGCCTTATTTAATGTCAGAGATTCTGAATAATCTATAAAATAGGTGGTAGCTGTCAATTGTAGTTATCTGTTTGCCAAATAAATATATTCATAAAGGATTATTCATTATCGACGACTATATTAGGCGCTTGTTGTTAGGAAAAATATTCCTTTTTTAGTATCTGCCTGGAATTCAGAACAATTTTACATATTTCGTATTATATTTTCCTTGCCATGACATCTGTACAGCCATTTTTGCTAACGTTTTTAAATAATAATATCATATATATTGTCTCTTAATCGAAAGTCCAACAATCGATATAAGTTCTATTCCACGAGCTACTCGTAGTAAAACTCCAGTAAAACACAAGTAAAGTACAAACTAAGAGCGTAACACAAATAAAGTGCCAAATTACGCTCTTTACACAGATTTTCATGGAACAGCTTTGTATAAAATCTGGTAAGAACACCAGTGCCGTGCAAATAAAGAATACAAAAATTTAAATTCAAACCAAAACAGCTAACTCACACTTTAAACAAATTTTACTTGTAATAAAATGTACTGATGTTACGCTCTCTCAGATGCTCTCTCAGATGCTCTCTCAGATGCTCTCATTTACTTGAAAATTCGTTGGTAAAACGCACTTGTGTATACACAGTGTTTTTCAAAGTTACTACGAGTAGCTCGTGAAACAGACCTATAATATATCAAGAAATCTTTTAAAGTTTTGTTAATATGAATGTGAAATTTTTTCATTACAGATAATCGAATATTGAGTTTCTGGCTGACACATGTCATTCCATTTCTAATACTCGCCGCACTTAAATGTTCCAATTCAATACTCGTGCGTGGCGTCTTCATCGACGCCGAAGGACACGGAGGTGAATGCGTCGACTTACCAATTAACTATGTAAAATTACATTTCGAACGTGAACGGACTAAGAAGGTATATGTTTTGCATCAACATTACAGACAACACCATCTTGCACGCAACATGGAGAAGGAAGCACAAAGTAGTCTGATCGACAAACCACACAAAACCGAAGTTCAGAAACAAAACATCATGGAATCTTCCCATCTTGTTTAATAAAAAAAAACCTGATAATTTTGTTTTTATATCTATATAATAGGTTTTGATTTTTTTAATATGTATTAATTGTTGATTTAAATAAATACTTAATATTAGTTATATTAAGGTTTATGTTGATTTGTTCTAGAAATTTTTGTCAGTGCACCAAACTAAAAAAGAATAGAATTTTTATTTAAGTGAAGTCTAAAGAATTTATAGCTTATTATTGTATTGGTTATGTTGTAAGGTATGGTATATATTAGTAATAATGTTAAAGACATGTTATAAAATAAATATTCTCTCATTAAATTTGTTAACTGATAACAGCATGAAACCTGATCCTGACAATATCGGGTTGGTGTAATGTGAAGTTTTTGCAAATTTCTGCAAATTCTAAACGTATTTCTTGTATTCTTAGGATAGGTGATAGTGTTGCAAGTTAATTAAGAACTATAGTCGGCATGATCGACTATGCTTTCATATATACCGACACACATTCAGACATGCATATATATAGAATTGGAATTATATTTCTATTGTTATGGCTTAAGGTTACAAAATGTGTAAGAACTTTTAAAATAGGAAAAAGAATTAGTGTCTAATATATTCGGTACATATGTTATGAATCTGATAATTTTATAGCAAAGTGTATATATATGTGTATATTTGTATTTACATTTATGGGACCAGATATTTAAATATTCTTTATTTTGAATATCAAGTAAAATAATATTGCACGAAAACTTTATATAGAATTGAGGTGTTAATTAATAAATAAATAAATAATATATTCCATTGTATAATGTATTAAAATTATGTGTATATATGTTATGTATTTAAATTTTAAAAAGTATTTAATCATTACGTACACGATATTATTGTTGCTACTGTCGATATTATATCATGGCCAAAAACAAAATTATAAAATATAAAATTTTAATTATACTATAAATTAAAAAATAAAAAAAATTTCAAACAAATGAAAATATTTTATTTTAAAGTAACCTTAATTAGTTTAATCCCGTATTCTATAGAATCTATCTATTGACATATGACAAATCTCACTATTAGTGTTCCTAGAAATGTCGATCACATTAGTTTATTAGATGTGATAGAACAAAAATCACAATAAAAATTTTTCAAAGACCTATTTATGAAAATAGATTCTAAAACTCGAGGTGCATAATTTTTCACTCCTAACGAAAATTTACTACTGATTGTCTTTGGCTCTTATCAAGACTTCATAGCGGCTTGACTTGTGTTTTATAAGTTTTGGTTTACTGTTTTGCAACTCAGATTCAACTCTCGCGACACATGTTCAGCAATTCTCCCATTTTTGTGCCAGAGTTCTCGCTGCCATAACTTTAATATTATCTGCGTATAGAACTAACATATATCGATTTCCTCTGGTTTTATACCAGAGAAATATCACAGAATCACAATAGCAGAGCTAAGGAGTGAGTGGTCTATTAACTGAATTTTGAATCTGTTTTCCATATTATAGTAAAATTTGATTTCATAAAAAGGTAACTAATATTTAACTATGTTTTACTATACAAATAATGCACTCAAATTTTAACTGTTATAATAAAATCTTAAGCACATCTTTTAATTGTGCTGTATTCTAGCATATTTTACAATAACTGTTTAAATAAATTCGATATAATGATGTTTTTCACATCTCTCAAGTAACAAATTGTTACATCAGGGGTATTTTAAGCAAAATTAATTATAAATAAATGGAAGTTTTGCAAAATTTGTCGTGTATTATTTGTCATATAGATTGTATACTTTACAGACATCCTTCATGTTAAAAAATCCATGTTGTTATTAAATCCATGATGTTACTAACTGACTGCATAATGATATTTGAATAGTGTTGCATTGAGAACCCTTTACCAACTAATTTCAATTCACGAACTTCTTATTAAAGTATAGTCAAAACTTAAAATTTACTGAACGACACATGCACGCTGTTTGTTAAACAACTTTGATATTTAAATTTATATTGATTCGTATTACTTAAGCACTCATTATTAATCTATAATAGTAGATGCTAGTTTTTTTTGTAAAAAATAAATCACATTTATTTCTATGAAGTGAATAATTTTATTTTAATCAAATTTTATTCCATCGTTAGCTATGACTTTCGATCATTATTCTATGATTATGGTATATGGGTTGGTGATTTTTATAGTTTAATTTTTAGCTTTACAGTTTACTCAGTAGTTTTTAAATCAGAATTCTTCTGACAAACTTACGTTTTTCACAAGGGCCTTTTACATTTGTTGCTTTTAAATTAACTAAGAAGGCTTATAGATCGCTTTGTATCATCACTTTGTACTCTAGATCCTGCTTTTAAGAAGCCAGGCTTTATTTGCAGTTTTTTGGAATTCAAAGTAGTTGTCCCAAATAAGTCACTTGTCTAGGCCAATTCTTAAATACGTTATGATATCTTCGTACGATTTAGAAAGTTTACTGAAATGCTACCGTAATTTAAGGTAAAAATTAAATTGTAGTTCATTGGTTTCGATTTAAATTCATCAGTTTGACAAACATTTTTTCAAATGAACTTAAAATTAAAAGTTTTAACAACTAGGTTACTTAGTGGGATATTAAATGTGTAAAGATTTTTCTCAATCGCTGAGAGTTTAATTTTTGTCGAATTTCGTATTGGGTACTCTTAGATACTATTATATAATTGACTAGTATTACAAAAGAATAACTTATGTTTTACCATGTAGACACATGTTTTGTTGATGATTATATTGCTTAAAGTTGATTTTTTACTGATTTGTGCAATCCTAAGCAGCCTTTGGACAGCCCAAACTAGTATTTTTGTTGGATCGAACCCTATATTTTTACTTATGCTTTATTCTATGTTTTTTTAAACGAGGGCTGCTATATATATTTCTGGCGTAATAATGAAAATGCGAATATTTATCATCAAAAATTGTTTTATTGTTTTTTAAAGTATTTTCCAGCCTGATTTATAGACTTTTTCATGCGCTCAAACCAATTGTCGAAGCACTTTTTCCACTCCAATTGAGACACCTCCAAAACATGGTTTTTGAATATTTCAACAGCATCTTCTGGCGACGAAAATCGTTGACCACGCATTTTTTTCTTGATGTGCGCGAGTAAAAAGAAGTCATTGGGTGCCAAGGACTGTACGGCGGATGGCCCATCAGTTCGACGTTTTGGCCGGTTAAAAAGGCGCTGGTTTGAGCCGATGTGTGAGAGCTCGCTTTGTCATGGTGAACAATGATTCGTCTCCTCTTGTTCGTTTTTCGAATTTCTCCGAAGACTTCAGGCAAACAAATTGTGGTGTACCACTCAGAAATGACCGTCCTTCGTTGCTCAAGCGGAACAGTCGCCACATGACTAGTTTTACCGAAGAAACATGCGACCATTTGCTTTGAAGTGCTTCTTCCACGAACAACTTTCATTGTATTTAGCTCGTCTTCGAAGACACGCACGGTTGACGCATAGATCCATGATTCGTCACCTGTGACGATCTTATAAACGTCTTTTGAAGCACCGTGAACGTATTTTTTCAACATTTCTTTGCACCAATCGACATGAGCCTCTTTTTGAGCGATTGTCAAATTGTGCGGGATCCAACGAGAACTAACCTTTTTCACGGCTAGGTGTTCATGCAATATCGAATGTATGCTGGTGGGAGAAATCCCCAAGGATGCCCCTATCTCACGGTATGTCACATGACGATCTTGTATTATCAGTTCACGCACGGCATCAATATTCTCTGGCACAACTGCCGTTTTTGGACGACGTTGACGGGATTCGTCGTTGAGCGAGCCGTGGCCGACGCTCGTTGAATTCATTAAACCATCGTATAGTCACAGTGCTATAGGATGGTGCTTCGTCGCCATACAAAGATTGAAGTTCATCAATGCACTCTTGTCGTGATAATCCACGTCGAAAATTGTAAAAAAATGATCGCACGAAAATGTTCACGTGTTAATTCCATTTTTTGGCCGAGATGAATTTTTCAAGTCTCTGTAAATAAAACAATTCACAATTAAATGACAACACGTTCTGAGTGATGTTATGCTAAAAAATTGTCAACCTTTCCAATGGAAATGTCAGATTGCACCTGATAACACTTAATGTTGCCTAGGCCACAAATATATATAGCAGCCCCCGCACTACATTAGAAGTAAAATCAATAGTTCAGTTGATACAAATGTAGTCTGACAGAGTTTTAGTGCAACAAAAACGCATCCATGAGTTTCAGAAGTTATGTTAATTGTCATTCTTGCTTGTCACTCTTGATTGCCCATGTGATCTTTCCTCCCCAATATTTCAACGGCGTTATTTACAAAAAAGCAATATATTGTCTGATGATGTAATGCTTAAAAAGAGTTTAATTAATTAATTAAAATAAAAAATTAGACAATTTAAAATACATAATTTTAAAATTAAGTTAAAAATTTAATATAGAATATATTTTTTTATACTTGAAATATTAAATGTCACGAGGTGTGCAACCAATGCAAATAATAAGCACTTGTCACATAGGCACGCAGCTGTGTCGCTAAAAAGTAAGAGGGTCTGAACAATATTAATGAAAGATCGTGATTAAGTAGAATAAGAAGTAATTAAGTCTTACTTAAACTATATTCTTAAGTTTTATCGTTCGTCATAATCTTTTATTCATCAAGGGTGCTGCAACCTCATTCATATTCTTTTTTTATGCAACTCTCTTCATTGCTGCCACTATCCATACTCTAATATTGGAAAGTGTTGAACATAATTTGACAGGCTTATTTTGTCGGTTAACACTTTGTCTTTCAACAGGTATTTGTCTGCCTTAGTGGTTATGATCCAACACCTCACATACAGTTATTTTATTGGCATCCTGGGTGCACGTACCGCTCAAGCTAAACTGCATAAGCTTTTCGAAGATGTGAATTTCGGTTTGGAGTAAAGTTCGTAGAACTAATCATTACTTCTTACAATTTTATGTACTCAAATATATTTTTTTATATATTATTTTATATTTTAAATAATATCATAATGTTATCATCTTGATACTTTACATAGAAATCTAAATTAAATTAAATATATATTAAAAAAGAAAATAATTATTAGTATAAATGTGAAATATATACATAATACTAACGCTCGACTCAATCCTCTATAGATTTGTTTATTTGTTGATTGAGGTATGACCCTCAACTCCTTTAGTGAATATTCTTGTATGTCTTGTTGACTCCAAACGCTTTTCTTGAAATTGTCATTTCAATTTCGAGTTTTAATTTGTGATTTTTAATTTTTCTATTTTTAAGTTGTTAATTTAATTTTTATTATTAATTAAAATGGTTAAACATTAAATGTATGCATTTTAAAGAATAAACACTAATGAAGTTCCTCAATAAAGAACGAAATATTTGCGAATTTCTTTAAATAAATGCGTTTCATTTTTCGTATCTTATAGCTTATAAAAATCTAAACAACAAAAATTTAAGTTTCGGGTCCAGAAAATAATCTCACGAAGCCGTATCAGGTCAGAACTTTACTTGATTTATTATATTTTTTGAGTTTGGCTTTGCCCCATTCCAGAACACTTAAAAGTATGATTTCAAAAACAGCTGAAGCAAACCGACTGGACAGATCGCTGTCATTTATCTCATGATAACACAGTGAAGTGCTTCTAAGTTATAGAATAAAAATTTCAGAGAATAAAAGATATCTTTTAGGTGCGTTTTTGCAATTATATTTTCCTGAAGCAATGGCACCTTATGAAGCTCATGAATCAAATTTTTATTTGCTTTTCTCTAAACACTTTAATCGAAAATTGTATACAAAAATCTTAGATATATACGCAGTTTGAAAATATATTTTAACACATTTTGTGCATCAAAGAGTATAAGAAAACCCAGAATAACCTCTTGCCGACTGCACTGTAGCTATTCGGTATGAGTACCTTTGTGAATGTAGGCACATAGCCCATCCAAATGAGTTTATACCATATATATTCTATCAGCATTTATTTAAAGTATTTATGTGTGTCCAATATATTTTCAATCGAGGACGACTGCAGTGTATGAACTTTAGTTCTAAAATGCATTAAGTATTTTTTTGGTTCTTAGTATTTCTTATTGTTGAAATATAAAAGAAAATAAAAGAAAATATAACAAAATAAAGAAAATTTCAATTTAAATACAAAAACAATTGAAATATATTTTTTTTGGCAGCGAGAGAAGAATGATTTTCTAAATGTTAAAATTTTTTTTGAATTAAAAAATTAGTTCGACTTTTAATCTCAAGCACTTCGCTAGAAGAATATAAAGTGTTTAATATTTTTTCTATTTTAAATATTAAAGATACTCTTACATACGCACTTACATATATGTATCTGAAAAATAAAAAAATTATTTAAATACTTTAGCTTTATTGATATTAAAAATCTTTAACAAACAAGAACAATGAATTAAATTCTTTCTAAACTATATATATTTAAAATAATTTATATAATCAATTTTGAAAAAATCAAAGTGATTGTTTTTTTTCAAATTTTTTCATCCTGAAATTTTGATTAAATTTTACCCAATGGGTATTCCTGACATACGTATGCTTATCACTGTGGACTTTGAAGTTTTCGGTCATGTGCAGGGTGAGCAAAGCCTGCAATATTTTATTATATAAAATATTTAATAATAACAACAATATTTTGAATAAGAATAAAAATAATACTAGTAATTCAATATAATACACATATAATTAATAATATTAATAATAATATTATAAATAAAATAATAACAAAAAAATATAACAATTTATAAATAATTATTTTAATATTTTTAATAATGATGTCAAAATACTATAAAGAAATAAGAAGTATAATGATTATTATGACTATTTCATTATTAATAAAAATGGCTATATTATAACATATATAAAAATTTATAAATAATTTATTTAAATTATAAAAACGTATAAGAATATAATTTATTGTGATTAAAGCAGCATTGAATATATTAATTTAATAGTTTAAATTCTTAGAAAAAAATAAAGTTTTAATAAAGAAAAATTTAAATAAACATATATCAACAAATTAGAATGTAGTGATGAATGTATTAAATATATTAAATCTCTATGAAAATAATAAATATTAAATATAATAAAATAAAAATAAGATTAAGCAATTATTGTACAAAATTATTTATTTGAAAAACAATTAAATAAAATTTTTTATACATAAAACCAAACATATTTCATGTCGTAAAAGCGACAGTAATAATATATATTATTTTTTATTGATGAATTCATAATTAATAAAAGAATTAATATTATTAAAATTTTAATAAAAACTTCTAAGACAATTCAAATATATCTTTCGACTCAAAAAAAAAAAATAAAACCAAACAAAAATTCTGTTCGTTACTTCAATATTAATCAAACTAAACACATATATTTCATTGATTCCTTAACAGGACACGATTTTCTTATAGAATAGAATTGGATAGAAAATAACAGTGTTTTAAGTTTCCAGCGATGTTTAGTACTAAAACAATTGAATAGCACTTATGTTAAGTAATTTAATTGGTCTTTCAGTCCGTCTGGATAATATGGAAGCTTCTCGTCCAATATTTTTCTTTTTATTTGACCCAACTGAAATCCAGACAGTTATAATAAATCTGACTAGAAGACATATTACCATTTAGGCAAAGATTTAGTTTTGTCACCTGAGGCAGATCTGTTTTGTATGGATCGTAAAATAGTTTTAGATATCTCATTAAATTAATATCCCCAAAACCTTAGTTGTTAATCAAATATGCTTTTCTTGATCGCCACTTTTATAAGATTCAAGAAATGCCGGTGTCTGCAAATTACACAAAGAATACATTGAGATAAACGTCATATAATCCCTTAGCAATTAGCTTTCTTTATTAAATTGAACTAATTATATTCAGCCAACTTTTACTTAACCTTAAACCACAAGTTTTTGATTTAAAGTCTTAAATTCTGCTTAAGTTATATATATATGAAGAGCATTTTTCAGATGATAAACTCATTTATATGGTCATGGTGAACTGCTATCTCTAACATAATTTTAATAATACATAATAAAACATATATATTTATAAACTGGTTACAACAAAACTTAAAAAATTATTAAAATTGTATTACACATATTAATAAATAATATTGCTAAATGATAAAACGTATATTAAAAAAAATTTATGCCGAAGAATAAAAACTTACACTTACATAAATGAATACTTTTAAGACAAAAATATAAGTAAAAAAGAATATTAATAAATTAAATAAATAATCAAAACTAACAAATATTAAAAATGAAATAGAAAAAAAAATATAAAAATTTATTTAAAAAATAATATAAAATAGTAATATTTAAAACAATTGTAATATTTATATGATTTGGTAAAATTATATAAACGAAGAGTGTTTACTAATATATCAAAAATTGAAATATGAAAAATTACTTGGTTTAATTATGTATATATATTCATTAAGACTATTATACATAATAAAATATGTATAATAATGATATATATAATATTGCATATAACAAAAGTTCATTACATAGAGCAAAATTTTCGCTTAACGATCAATTGTTTTAATTATAATTGTGAATTGTGTAATTCAGTTAATCAATTTAAATATTATTTAATTAATAATGCTCAAAAATTCAATTAATTGTAATATGTATATACGTTGAAAGCTTAAATTCATATACTTTGAATTCATACAATCAAAATATTGAGCCAATATTAAAAAAAGACAGTAGTAGCAAAAAAGAAACATATAAATAATTAAATATAGAGTAAAAAATATAAAAATAAGATGATAAATTTCAAAAAATAAAAAATTTGATCTGCCGTTGTTGATCTGAAAAAACAAGATTAATCAATAATGTCTTTCCGCATTAAGTGTGCTTAATGTTTTTTTTCACTTAAAAAACTAAGTTCATATATTCCATATAAAACAAATTATTCAGTATTATAATTATCATATATCAAGAATATAAACTGCAAGTAGAAGTATAAAATTTAGTCTATGACAAACAATAAGTTTTTACATAATTCACTAAATAAAATATGTGACTTCTAATATAAATAAATAATAATAAATTTATGAATATTGATATCGTTTCGTAAAGGATTCGTAATAAATTTTAAAAGAATCATTTTTCCATTTATATATAAATACATATTGAACCGGTGTACTATATATTCCAATATGGCCTTTTTATGATGTTGTTTTTTAAGTGGTCAGCTACTTTCGAAAGTATTTATTTGAAATCAATTTTACAATTTATATATTTACATTTTTTTGCACGTTAGCTATTTACAAAAAATTATTTATATACATAGACTATTTTAAATTAGTACTCCCACAATTTCGAATGGTTCATTAGAAAAATCGTGGGTGAAAATATTGTTAAAACATTTAGATTGATTTAATTGAGCAGAAAACTATCCTTGACATTTTTAAAAATAAAATACCATACCTCTTTATACAAATACATATAATTATATTTTTGATCTCAAAGCAAGGGATTTATTTAAATTATTTTCGAAAATACCAAATAAATAAATTAAATTAAGAATTCTTGTGGTACTGATTTTAAATGTTTTTATGAAGTGTGAATTTATAAAATAATATATGTATTTTTTTAATCGTTTTTACTTAATCTGTTGCAGTTTTTATTATTCTTATCGGAGAGACGTAGCAAAATAGACACTTATACAGAAGCTATTGAGAGCTAGCGATTAGCTTATCTCCTAGTGATACAGATTTCCGTTCTTTAACGAAACTTTTGCATTCCTCGAGAGGCGGATAGAAAGTTTCTTCTCAATTTCTTGTTCTCTAAAGACACAGACAGTAGTTGTATGTGTACTTTTTTCATCTCAGGTGATGCAAGAAATCTTTTGACGCAGGTCTTAAGGGTTTATACTGTAGTTTAAGGTGTATACCGTCAATGGTAACGCAATGCTGAATTTGTCCTTTGATAACGATAAAAGCAGGAAATCTGTTCGTAGTTGGTCCTGTCAATAAGTGCGTGAAAGTTTGAAGGGTATAGTTACTGTAACGTTTGGATTATAAAGAAACATTAATCAAAATTCGGATTCCAAAATAATTCAATAGCTGTAATACACTAATATTTATATTTCCAATTTCATTAATAAACTTTTTAATTATGTAATTTTAAGTAATGATACATATATTAAAACACACATCATATATTCTAGAGGAAGATTCTCCAGCATAAAAATTATTTTGCGACCATAAGAAATTTATTTAAATTATGTAAGAAGAGATAGATTGAGTTAAATATTGTCAAAATTTAAAAAATACCTTTGATGTACGTATATGTGGAGGTCTGTGGTTAATATTGGTGATTTAATTATTCAAAAAACTAATGATTTATATTTTCACTCACTTATAATATGTTGCAGTTACTCTCATTCAGTGCTCAAAGTAATTGATCATTAGAAACATACTAAGCGTTTATAAATAACCTCTTGTATCTTCATTAGCAATAAGAACTTCAACAACCTATATTCCTAACTCCTAGTAAATTTGATTACTTTTCTTTTAACACATTGCTTAAATGCTAATGTGGTTTTATATAAAATTGTTTCTCAATTACAGGCTGCTATTTCACGAAAAATACACGCGATCTGTGCACCAAGGCTGGCATAAAAGGTTGGGTTAAAAATAGCAAACAGGGTACTATAGTGGGTAAAATGCAAGGTCCCAAAGAAGAAGTTGATAAAATGTATTTTTAAATATTTAATGATAACTTATTTCTTGTTATCGAATTTTGTTTTTTTCAATTTAGGATACAATGGCTGTCGAAAGAAGGCTCGCCAGGTTCTCAGATTGAAAAGTGTGAATTGCGATATATGGGCACTTTAAACCGGTTGGACTACAAGGATTTCGCAATTAGATTTTAGTTATATAAATGTAATACACTGTTCTGATTATTATTTAAATTCGTTGCTAATCATTTTTATATATTTTTAAATAAAATTACATTAATAAAATAACAGATTCGATTTGTATTTATCAATAAATATTAAAAAAAAGGTATTATATAAGTACCAATCTTGTAAGAATAAAAAATAAGTACATCTTAATGCAACTTATTCATATAAAATATTGACTTTAATTTGTCAAATTGGAATTAAATGCAGTTGCAATTTGTTAAATAAAAAAATTTTCGCACTAAAAAACCCACAATCTTATCTTTCGATTTTATATCAGACACATTATACCAAATCATTAAATTGAACATTAGCAATAATTAAAACATTTCCAATATTTTATAAGAGTTATTATTTCTGCTGGCTTTGGTTTTAACATTAAACTAATTTAAACGCAAGATTTGACAGCAGTTATTAATATTAAAAATAATGCTCTTGGCATTTACAAATTATTTAACATGACTGGAAACGACCATTTTTTCGCATTCTTTCAAATGATTTTTCTGCATCGTAATTTCTACAAAAGATATTAAAATTTTAAACTTATCTTAATAATATAGAAATTAATATCCCGCTTACTTGTAGAATTCAGCGTATGCCTTCTTCTTAGGGTCGTTGACGAGTACCTTAAAAGCAACAGTCGCAACGGTGGTCAATGCGATGGCTACAATTAAATTTTTCTTAATAGTAGCGTTGTGAAGGCCACGTAACACTGGTTTTGGAATGCTACCAGTAGCTGCAGGAGTACTAGACATTTTGCTTTAATTTTTATTTAAAATCTGCAAGAATAACATAATATTAATAGTGCGGTTATAGGTTACGTAATTTCTATGATAATTTCTGCACACTTAAATCACTTCAAGCACAACTTCAATATTTTTATTATATAGAATTTCTCTTGTATTTCTTAAAACAATTTTCATACAATTTATTTAAGTTACTTATTCAATTATAATTATATTGCAATTGAGCGCACCTTCCACGAAAAAATCTGCAAATTTTACAAGCAAAAATATTGTCTGCAAACGTCAAACTCAATTGTGACAGGGCTCTAGTGTGATGAAAAATTAAAAAAAAGCACCTGTCAAAAAAAATTTTAATGCTATCAGAGATGTGTTCACTATGCATTCACATATAACAAAACAATTATGATATATTAAAAAATTAAATTTATAATATTGAAGATAATTTTAAGATTTGCATGAATTTATATAAAATCGTTTAAATTTTAATGGTATGTAGGAATTTTACAATATTAATTTCTGTATTTAAATTAAGAAGCAAGGGCGATTAGTTAGAATATGTAATATCAACATAATATATATATTATATAAATTGTACTTTTTTTTGTTGTTTATTCATAAAATACTTTTTATAATATATTTTAATTCAATCACATAGATATTGCATTACACCAATGCAACGTTCGTAGCTTCATTGTTTCGAATAAAAAGCAATATAATATGTTCATAAATTTCTTGTAAATTTTTAGATAAAAAAAAACAAACAGTAAAATTAATATTTAAACATAAAATTGGTTAATTAATATTGTCTTGTATAAACAATATTAAAAATTAATTAAAATAAAATGAACTCAAAAAGCTAAAAAAAAAACAATGCAAGCCATTCAATCTCTAAATCAGTACAGTACGCTTACAAAGTTGACAGCTTTTGAATATGATTTAAATTAGTTTTATGTCACGTACAGACGACAATCGTAAGGTGCAACCGCAATGGTGTTCACAGTTCCATAAAACTCAATGAGTCCAATTTTTGCGACTGATGCCAATTTCAATTAATTTAACTTTTACTCCTGCATTTGTGACTAACACAAAATAATTGTATGATTTTACTTGCAAAGCATATTCGGTTCTGAATGTGGTTGTCGTCTACGTTTGGGTTTATATAGCACCATTTTCGGTGGCGATCAAAGTTCATTCTCATAATATCAATTGATTAATATACTTTATTTCTATTCCCATAGATATATAGTGTGGTTCTAATATATAATATTTAACTTATTCGGCATTTACACTGATCTTAAATGGCTCATTTTGGTCATAAATCAAAAATGAAAAGAAAATTATTCATTTTTGCATACAAAATCTCAAGCGCAAATGAGAAATGAAATCCATTGGGTCTCATTGCGTATCAATAAGTTCTAATAAGGTTAGAATGAGTTTCAAATATGTTCCAAATGCAAATGAATACATTGAACATACCCTAAATAAAAGCTTTTCATGGCATTTTGATAGTTTGAGAAAGCTGTTTTTGACATATTTACAACAAAAAGGTAAATAAATGTTTGGTGGTTGCATTTCCTTAAAAGCAACACACCTCTTTTTGGAACTTCTAGTTCCCAAAAATAAATTAATTGAAGCTAAAAATAAGTTTTCAGTTTATATTGTAAGCTTTGAAAGCATATTTAACTTTCATTCAACATTTTTTTGGCACAGGCCAACAGGCAAGTTGAAAAATCAGCTGTTTGATATGAGAACAAATAAATTACAACGAATGTAAACGCTTTCATGACTCATTTGAAATGAGCCATTTGAGGTCAGTGTAAATGCCATATTACTTAATATTGTTTTTAATTATTATTTAGATGCTTTATTGTTTAGCATATGTATGTATTATGCTCTATTAATAATAGAAGCTCCTATTTAGATTACATTCCAAGTTGAAAATAATCTGACTTAAAGCATCAAAATAATGGATGGACAGACGGATTAAGACAATTTATATTATTGATTACAATTATTAGTATTAAATTGATTTTTACCGTCCGTCTTGACGAAAGAAACTAAATCCTTAATATGAACTACTGTTTTCAATAAACGGGTTTTTATCGAACAGTAGTGATATTGCAACAAAAAAAAATTATTTTTATTATTTTTAATTAAGTGAATTTTTGGCTGTTTTGAGTATTGCCAAACACCCGTGTTGTTGTTGTTGTCCTAAATTTATGCATGTAAATTTAGTTAACCAATCACTAGATTTTCATTGATACAAAATCTATCTAGCACCTTCAATTATGTACTAATTCAGGATGATAAAGAACCTTCAAAAATGTGCTAACCAAGGATGAAAGTATGATGTTTGAGCTCTAACTCAATGTTGTAATTAAACCATAAACACTTCTTATAAATATTATTTGAAATTTATTAAATGTAAATAAACACATTGGAGATTCCGATATGTTCCTAATATACATATTTGTATTAGCGTCATATGATAAAAAGAATGAGAACAAAATAAAAAAAACATTGAGTTGTTTTATGTAAATTACACTAATATCAACAAAAATATACAATCTATTGTTCCGATTCCATGCTGCTAATTCATCTAGTTCTAGTTAAAGTGTTTCTGGATTACAAAATAATAAGATGATTAATAGAATAATTAGAATTAAAAAAAAATTGTTTGTAGGGTATTTTATTTTAGTACATCTCAACGATTTTATTTTAGTATCCCTCAAGTTTAGTTTAATAAATAAAAAAGTCGTATGGGATGGTGAGACAAGAGCTGAGTTTTAGCGAATATGATCCGCTCAATTTTACATGCAAAACAAAAAACAATGGGATGAACCAGCAATTGGTTCACATTCTTGTTCAATGTGGAATGTATGTAAAAAATAAAAGTGGAACGTTTTTAATAAATAAATCTATATTTATACTTATTTATTTATTATTTATTTTATGCACTTATTTGTTTAATGTGCCATTATTATTTATTTCTTTGTTTAGAGTAATGTTTTAATTATTACTATTACTATAAATTAAAATTATTAAAATTAATTGAAATTATTACTTTAATTATTTAAGTTTTATTATAATTAAAAAAGTGTTGTTTGATAATTTATGAAAATCAATTAATTTGAAACGAATATATAAAAATTAAGTTGAATACATTTATTTAATTAAAACAGAACAATACATAAGGAAACAGGTTCTTCAACAAATACGTTTATAAAAAAACCATTTTCATCGCAAACTGCCTGCAAGATTAAGCCATAGTCATGCTTTCTTTTAAAATAAGCCTAATTGCTATGGTGAGGTGTATTTATTTTAACATGTGTGCTGTCTATGCAACCAATCACGAACGGAAATTTTTTCGTAGATTCCACTTTTGCACTATAAGCAAGTGCGTATTTAATAAATTAGTGTCCAATTGATATAAGCTAAACACTAGTTCTTTCAATTATCCTCCATACAGAAGCTTTTGATATGCCAAAACAAATACCAAATTTTGGAAAAGTATTTATATATGCCATATACCACAAAAATATATGAATTTCCTTTTTTGATCTCGTTCGATTGTGACCACCACGGTTATTTTGTATTTGCTGATTGGAATTTATTAACAAATCTATTGAAATATAAAATATAATTAATATATAGCAATTGTGTTCTTTATGCGCAAATACCAATCAAATAATTAGTAATACATCTTTGAAGTCTAAAGTTTTTCCTGAAATCTTCAACGGAAAAATTATTGATCGTTTCCACAAAATTTTCACTATATCCATGCTGATGCACTTCATCCCCAGAGCTTATTACACTTGAACTAGTGTTTAAAAAGGGAATGAAAGAGTCAGTTTCGTTCGATGATTCTAATAAAATCTGCAATTTTCATTTATTTACTTTCGAACTAAATTTAAGTTTTAAAGTAAATACTAATAAAAACTTACATTTAATATTTCAGACATTTCAACAGATTTTATTTTTTTTCTATATTTTAGATTTTTTATATTTAATACTTTCTCACTTATTTTTTTAGCGCTAAAATTATTCACAAAAATAAAAAAAAATTTTGTAAACAAACCAAACTAACATAGTTCATGCGTTGCCAATTACTTTCATACGTGATCCATATCGTTTCAGCAAAGATGATCCAAATCATTGTTTGCTGAAACGCAGCTAATTTAGGAGAGTATCTTTTCTTTTGTAACATATTTTTGGTTAGGTTGGCTGTCAATCATTTGAAGAGGATTTATCAATATAATTATTGTGTTTTCAGAGAAATTGTGTATCAATTGACCAGCTCATGCATTTTACAATATTTTATTAACTTAGTATAACTCTGAACCTATATATGTATATATGAATGCTGTTTTCTTTAATTATCTTATTGAGAAATAAACGATACAATAATAGCAGTAATTTATTTTTTCAGAGTAGCAAAAAAATACTAGCAACTTACGAAAGAAAACATGTGAAGCAACAACAAAGTTCTTAAAATCTTCAGAGTTAGGTTTTCCTTCGAGAAAATTTCCAGTAATCCGTTAATTTTCCAGTATATAAATAAATAAATAAAATTATATATAAGATAAAAATGCTATCTATTGCCCTTCTAATATTAATTTTGTTTTGTTTTATTTATATTAATTAATTTTTAAAATTTACAAATTTTATATTTTATATTGTACACACCACAACAGAAAATGTATGTCAAAAATTAACATTTAAAATGTTTAAAAAGTGATGCCAATATGTTAATATATATATGTTATATATATATGTTATATATATATGTTAATATATAATGCTGTTTTTTCACAATTCTGAAAAAAAAAAAAATTACGGCTAATATTACGTTTCTTGGCATTATCCTGATATTTACGTGTGATGTAATTGTAGGTAGGATATTTGGGTAAATATAAACATGCATTGACTTAGCTTACGTTTGGTAGGCGTTGTAATAATCCAGTTATTTACATCACGTACGTAATAGTTTTAGACTTTATATGCAAACGTAGGCAGACTTGCTTGTAATGGTTAGTACATTGTTAATACGTGTTAGGGTTAGGTATATTTCCTAACTTCCTTAGTTTAATTAGATTCATTGATCATCAAATATTTCTATAATTGGAACACGTGCGTACATATTTTATTCAAATAGTTGCTATTTTTAATTGTTTGTATTTGGTCACGTACTAGTACATCTAAAAAAATCTTAAATTAATTCATAATAAATCATTTATATTCTTCTAGTAGTTTTGGCATAAATTTAAATGTTTATTGAACTTTAAAAGTGAAAAACCTAAACATGAAGAAGTCAATGTAGATCAGGTTCACTTTATCGAGTCATTTTACCGAGACATTTTAACGAGTTCTCTGCCGTTGCCTATGTTACGTTTCATATTAACTGAATTCTTAATTACCGAAACAAATAATAAAATAAAAATAAGCAAAATAACATAAAATAAGCAAACTGCTTTTTAATATATTTGTAAACAAATATAAACAAATTATGCATTAAATTTAGACAAATAGTAGTTAATTTTATGAACTAATATTTAAAGGTCAACTGTGTAACTAACAAATGAGTCAAATTTATTAATCTATAATAAATCAGCAATAATGACAAATAAAATGGGCAGACGAGTACACAAGTGAGAAAGTGAATAAAGAGCCGAATGAAAAGAACGAAATATGTTAATAAAACCATACGATATTCATAATCAATAACGAGTACGAATAATTATAAGATTTAATGGACTTTTTAGTTCAAGAAATTAGTTTTTTTCAATTAGTTTTTACTATTTTGCAAATTTAATAATTCTGATTTAATATTACTACCCTGGAAGAGAGCATGATTCAAGTTTTATGGTGTGCTCGTTGTTTAAGTAATTAAGATTTGATGCCGGCACATATAATTTACAGCACCTATTAGTTTGCACTAGAATTGGAAAGAATTATCGTTCTGAACTGGAGGCTTTTATTGCCGTCTTTAACCTTTGCCTATTGTAAAACTTTTTTATAATACTTTAGCAGTAAAGTCTTTGCTTATAAATTTTAATGGAATACTTCAACGCGTGCCCAAACATTTATAGAACGGTAATAGGAACGGTGAGATAAGACCAGTACCAAAAGTGTGTTTGCGAGAAAAATAATTAACGAATAATCTTTTAAATATACTTTTAATCAAACTTTGATTTAATATGAATTTTTTTGATCTGAGATCTGAGATAAGTTCGAGTATATACCACATATTAGATGTATGCCGCAATATAAATACATACATACATGTATAT